ACTTAATTTCCCCAAACTAAATCTAAGATATTCAGTTCCTTATATAAGTAGTTATATACTTTTATGGTTTTAAGCTAAGCGTAGGACACTAGTAACAAAAAAGATTAAAAAACAAAAAAAAACAGAAAACAAAAAACAAAAAACAAAAAAAACATTTGAAACTTTCTAGGGTTTTTTTCGGATTTATGCACAAGTTTTTCTATCGATTGACTAAGTCTGAAAATTGCACCCTGCTCACAACCAGCTTAGGTCTTATAATCATAAGCCATAACTCTCAATGTATATCATGTCGCTTTATGTTAACTGTTCCAAGTCCATCCGAATTTGCCTATGCATGCAGTTAATGGGGGGTGAGGAGTACATATACATTTTATCAAAAGTGTTTAAGATATATCATCTGCATCTTCTTTTTCAATTGATGTCTCGGGGTTCTATTCATAGAATCGTTTGTCTGTGCTGCGTATCAATCATGATGTATCACGTATATATGTGTCCAATGCCTAACTTATTTGCTATAAGTCAGGTCCCATTTACCCATTGCGTAATCCTAACCACAAGAACTTAATCCCAAGTTTATTGTTGTATCGTTACGATACAAAATTACATACATACATAAAATACATTTATAGAGCTAAAACGCACATCGAAACAGGCACAAAAACTTAGACTTATCGTATGCCGGTCCCATTCTATTTCCAGGCGTTATGCAAGCGACTACCATGGGCGGCGTTAAGCTGGACAAGCGCTATTCGCCCAGCTTCCGGGACGATGCCGCCGCGGTGCCCGTACGCAAGATGAGCGCCTCGAAGCGCAAGCGCGACGAAGTACTCAGGTATGTAGAACCATTCCGAAACTCATGTCCGTCCAAGGACAGCCTCACAGCCTGCACCTTACACCTATACTGCCTCAACTGACTTACACATATATATATATATATATATATATATATATCTTTATATATATATATATTGTTAAATATATATATATATATATATATATATATATATATATGTATATATAAATATCACACATGACTGAAGCGTTATTCAGCCAAGCAAATGGAAATGAATTTTATTTTTGTTTTAGATTGTGCAATGCATACAAAAAACAAACACGCACTCGCCCCTGTCAGACATTGTTACGGGTATTGGGTATGCAAATCTTACAACCATAGTATGTGTATGAGAATTTTGTTCTTTTTTTTTTTTTGACTATCCTATTGGAAACTGCGCCACGTTTGGTTTCATTGAAAATGGAATACACGAGTTTGCAACTGATAAATTGATTTGAGCAAAAAACAGCCTGTGATGTATTTAAAAATCGTTGAACTAAGCTCTCCTTAGTGCTTCAGTTTGCCTACTCTGCGCTAGATGGCGCTCTTGCGTTTTTAATGGAACCAAATATGCTGTATAAAAAACAAAAGAAAAGAAACAACAAAAAAAAAACGAAAACTTCCAGCTTATTTTGTTTTAGGTCACTCATTTGTGCCATCTAAATGGGGTCGCAGCATTGTACACTTGTCTCGCTTGATACCATATTAATCCCACACATCTCGCCTGGATTATTTGCAGAATGAAGGTGCATAAGAACGGAAATGCGGCCGATGTTATCAAGAGCATTTCGCAACTTGACAACTCCAATAAGCAATGTTAGTATCCTGTGCCCTGGCTCGGGACCTGGACAGTAAACCCAATCAAGACATTATATATACATATATATTGATCTTATAGCTTTTGCAAAATGTTGGCTAATCGTCTGGATTCGATTTCGATTCACAGATTTTTTGATGCTCGAGAATATCACATCGCAGTTTCGCAATCCCTGCATTCTGGACCTAAAGATGGGCACCCGTCAGCATGGCGACGATGCCTCCGCAGAGAAGCGCTCCAAGCAGATGGCCAAGTGTGCGGCCAGCACCTCCGGTTCGCTAGGCGTGCGGCTATGTGGCATGCAGACTTACCAGGCCGATCTGGAACAGTACGCCAAGCGGGACAAATACTGGGGACGTGAGCTTAATGAGGCGGGCTTCAAGACCGCTTTGCATGACTTCTTCTACAATGGCTATCGTTTGCGCATTCGCGTCATACGCAAGATACTGCAGCGACTCATGCAGCTGCGTCGCGTCATCGAGAAGCAGTCCAGTTATAGATTCTATTCCTGGTAAGCACATGATATTGTCTTTTATTCAGAGAAATCGTCTTAACATTGCTTATTCCTCTGACAGCTCCCTGCTGATCGTGTATGAAGGCTATGAGGAAAATCCTATGGCCCATCCGCCCTCCATGGATCTGGATGATTGGCTGGAGGCGCCCAAGTCAGCCACCCTGCAGCCGTCAGGCGCCTTTGATTATCATCCAGAAAACAGCATAGACGAAGATGACATCGAGGACGATGAGGCAGGTCACGAGGCGGGCGACGAGCTGGAGCCGCACGATACTGACGAGGATTTGCAGTTGGTGGCAGCTGTTGATAGCGGCAACGCTTCGGCCACCAATAGCAGCACAGGCGCCGATGGCTGCAATTATGATGCGGATGCCTCCAATGACTCTAACTCGCGCCTGAATCTGGCCACGCGTCGTCATCTGCACAAACGTGGCTTCGCCGAGGCGGCGGCTCGCGGCGTCAAGCAGACTGCCACAAGCTCCACCACCACCACTGACGAGGAGGAAGATGAGGAGGAGGATAACGTAAATAACAAGGCACAGCATAAGCATTTGTCCGCCATGCCGCCACCGCGCACCTGCGGTGTGCTGCCTGCCAAAACACCAACTGGTGGCAAGGGCAGTGCCAATGGCAACGCCACACCTGCATTCATTCCAATTTCCGAAGAGACAGTATTCCTGGATCCTGAGCCAGCGCTGCCCAGTGTGACAACCTCATCACCACATTCCGGTGACTCCTGGATGAACTACAGCAGCAATAGCAGCGACGATTTCTCGGGCCTATCGGAACAAATCAAGGCTGTAGCCAGCGGCCGCCAGACTTGTAAGTCCTCTAGTGTAAATCCATGAAATCTCATCCATTTATTCTTACTCATCCACAGGTAACAACAGCTCCGATGATGGCAGCTCGGACTACGAGAGCAGCATTATGGGACCCACAGAGGCAATGTTCAAGCGCTACAAGTCGCAACAGTCCTTCGATGCGTCCGCTGCGGCTGGCAGCTTGGAGCCCACCTCGCCGCCGCACACAGCTAGCAACTCAAACGCCACCATTAAGTCCCTGGTGTCACCCAACTCCTCCAGCGCCTCGTCGCTAAAGTCGGTAAAGGGTGCTGTCAAGCGTCTGCGCTGCAAGGACGACGACGAGCACTATGCGGCTCACGACGATCCCAGGGAGGCCAAAAAGTCAACCATAACATCGACCCCCGTTTCTGCTGTTTCCTCACCTTCAAAGTCGCGGGTGCAGTGCAGTTGTGAGAATATATCCAACTCACTGCTCGGCGGTATTCTGCTAGATTCCCTGGAGCGCCGGGCCAGTGCTGAGGGCAGCGACAACAACACCAGCAGCGAGCCAAAGGCGAACACAGCTGCGACTCGCAATTCTGCGCTAATGCATGGCTCCAAGTCACTGGACATGTCGGCACCGCCCACAGACGATTCGGCATGCTTTGTAGATGTGCGTCTCATCGATTTTGCCCACACAGCATTTGTGCCACGCAATGGCAGCATGCTGCCAACACCTACAGCCGCCGCGCCCGTCCACCATGGACCCGATGGTGGCTTTCTCACTGGCCTGGACAGCCTCAATCGCCTGCTCAACGAGATATTGGGCGAGGAGAGCATCTAGCTAGCTGCTGTGGCTGCAACTACTGCAGCCGTTGCCCCATTTAAATCTACCAGCGAAGAAGCTCACGCACAGTGCGCGGTCGGGAACGGAGAATAAGTTAAAAGTACAATTTGATTTCAAAAAATACCTAAATTGTTGTAGCAACATGTGTTAAATTATGAAACTAATATTTAGAAATTCGAAATGTGATTCAGCTTAACAAAAAGAAAAATAATACAAAAGTAAAAAACTAACAAAATTAACCAGATAACAAAAAAAAAAATAACACAAAATATTATGGATATATAATGCCAACTTTTTTAAACACCATACGATAAGTGCTGTTTAGAGCCTTCTCAATGTGAAAATCGAAATTGTGAAATGTGTTTGAAAATGTTTCTTCCAAACGTAGTTACAAGTTTAATGATTAATTAATTGAAATATTAATATATTGTTCAAGCTTATGCATTTCCAAGCGCTGAAAAAATACTATAAAACACAATGGAAACGAATTTTGTTCTATTAGCAAAATAATGACTTTGCTGTTTTAGGTTTGTGAGAAATGTTTATGAATATGCGAAAAACTATATGAATATATATGTATTGTATTTTAAATAATTAATTAGCATGCAAGTCATGCGTTTTTATACCTAGCTATTACAATACATACAATGCAAATGACAAAGCGTAAGAACAGTATTTTGTTATAATATTTTTCATCTTTTGCTTTAAATCGTTTCCTTTCTAATTGTAGCAATCACAGTTAATCTGTAAAAGTGTGAGGAGGAAGAAAAACGCTATTAACATAAATCCTAAAACATATACATGTATATTACTATTACTTATTGTATAACTAGAGAATTAAATGGAAAAAAAAAACTTAAAAAAAAATTATATAAAATATGTATATTTTCACTTAAGCACGTTTAAAAATTACAAATGTTCTACTGATTGCAAAATAAACTTAAAGTATCAATAAATATGTCAAAAATAAAAGTGGGTAGTCTTGGTTTTTGTGTACTGCATAGATATATCCTTTGTTAGCTTGATCCGATTTTAGTTAGGCGCGAAAGATTGAAATTTCTTTACTTTGACGGAATGTAAGGCGTTGCCACGTTTTACACGTAAGCAAACTGCTATGCGTTTGTCATTTTTAGTGTATTTTAAGTCATTGTTATCGATAACATTTAACATATTTCTAACATTGTGTTCATATTGCTCTTATTGTGGCAACAGAGTGTGTATTTCAACAAATTAGTTAATTCTTTGCCATTTTCTTATAATTTGCGTAAAGCTTTTAATTAACTTAAACAACTAGTGCTTATTAAGTATATTCTTTTGTATTTGCCCGATCGCAACTGGCATAAAACGTTCAAAACGCAAACTCACTTATGTAATTTTTAGCGTTAGGTTAACATCTGTTAAATCGCCAATTCGCATTATAAAAACCACTTTAACTAACATTTCAGAAAATAAATAATGGGTGGACATCACGGAGAACCCTATACGGTGCCGCATCCATCAATTTATAAGGTGGAGAATGTACCGCAACTGCTTCAAGTGAAAGAGGCGCTTGCCCGTCAGGGCTTGAATGATCCATGGCTGAGGTAAGTGGTCGAACCTCAATTTTTTACCTCTTCCGATCAAAACAATGGAAACTTTTGCTGTCATAGGAACGAGGCCTGGCGCTATGAAAAGAAGGCATTCGGCACACACCGTTCCCGCCTGACCACCTTTATGTTCCGCGGCCTCGGCGTCGGATTTTGTGCATTTCTGGCCACCATCGCGGTGGAGTATGCACTCGGTGTTGGCAAGGGCCAGGGTGGACATGGACACGGTCATGGCAGCGAACATGGTCACGAGGATAAGAAGCATCATTAAATTAAGTGTTTTAGTTCAATAAAAATGCAAATGCCAATGCGCTTCGATATTTAATGATACGATACAAATTAATGATTGATATTACTCGCAGAACATGTCGTGACTAAAACTAAAGCACGTTTCCGATCAGTTGACGCGCGGCTTTAGCTCGTCATAGCAGGAGCGCAGGAAAATCTGTGGTTTTTTGGCCGGATTAAAGTATTCATGTCCCTTGGACCAGTCGTATCCGACAGCGTATGCGAATATTTGGCCATTGGCATTGAAGCCGCATTTCGTAATAGATTGATCCATGGCTTCACTGGATTTGAGCTTGGTTCGTGCATCTTTGTCCCAGAAACTGAATGTGCCATCCGATCCCACTGTAACCAAAGTACCATGCACGGGATGGAATGCAATGTCGTTTACCGCGTAGATATCTTGGAAGCCCGAGGTACCCGTCGAGCGGTGGCACTTGAATGTAAAGTTATCCTTGGGATTTACTGGGTTCACGTACTGTATGGCCACGCGTCCCTCTATGCTGCCCAGCGCATAGCCTGTGGGCGTCTTCTTCTTGTCCTTAAATATCGATATGGTGCGATGCTGGTATTTCAGCGGACTCTCCTGTCGCTTGTACTCGGTGGGACTGTTTTCCAGCGAGTAAATGATCAGGCCACGGCCCGCAGTGCCCACCACGGCCATGGGATAGTCCACATCTGCACAATAGCAGCGTTCAGGCAGATTAATGGCCATCATGGGATTGGGTGTGCGCGTGTCCCAAAACTGTGATTAAGAAATTTTTACAAATATGTATTATATGTCCGCATATTTGGTATATACCTTGAGCGTTTTATCCCAGGAGCCGGTCATCAGGCACGTATAATTTGGCCCTTTTACCATGTGGCAAGTCTTGACTGGTCCGTCGTGGGCAGCAACTTGCATTACCTGATCGGAGGCGAGATCCCAAAGCTTGACTTGTTTGTCACAGGAAGCCATAAACACTTTGGTTCCGTCATCGGACCAGCACACATCGAGCACTGGTCCACCCATTGTTTTCATTGACTTTGGCACTGTGGCTCCATTTTGTTCCACCTCCCAACAGCGCACGCTGTTGTCCCAGCTGCCGGCAATGAGGAAATTCTTTGGCACTTGCAATGTGCTTGGACTGAACTCAAGCGCAGAGACGGAGTCATCGGGCGGCGATGCCACCTCAAAATCGTTCATACGATTTGTTGTCGTTTGTGCGGGCCCAAACATGACTTTGTTTTTTAAATGTCGCAAAATGTTTGTATTTTAGCGAGCTAAGCGTCAAACGTACTTGCCGAACGTAAGCATAACATGGCACACTTACAATTAACAGAGCGCATAGCATAGCGCACAATGAGCAACGAAACGCATAAAAGAGTACGCCAAACCATACGTAACGACAACGATAGTTTCCGCTCCACCATCAAAATTTTGCAATTCACAATGCCGAATGTAAACAATGTTGACGTAAAATGAATGTTAATAGAACCGGTAAACTGTGGTTTTGTGAGTAAAGTGTGCTTTAGTAATTAGAATTTAAAAAGTTCTGCCCAGCCTTGTTAACGGGACAAAGAGTAACACATAATAAGGTAAGTGCACATAATCACACATAAATATACACAAATAGGCAATTTGTATTTGCCCCATAATTTATATGTAGGTATTCTCAATTTATAAGTATATATATACATACTACACAATATTTTACCATATAGAATATATACATACATGCATATATGAATGTTTTTGATCAGCAACAGTAACCTAGACATTTACATCTACCTGTTTCTACTAGCCGATGAGTGGGTTTTGGGTTCTTATCTTATCCAATTCATCTAATACGCGCTTCACTAGTATTATTATTATAATGTACAGGGAGTCGCGCAAAAAAAGTGGGCGGCACTGCGCCCGCAATGGTCTATTGTGACTGGGGCTTCCTCGACCTCCTTGTTCGAACAGTCTGCTGACGGAGAGATGCATTTTTAACCGAAAAAGCTTTGATCTGAACTGGATTCGTTTCACCGTTTCCCCCGCCAATATGCTCCCAACATATGAGCAACATTTTATCATTTAATGGCATATAGTTACTATATAAACAATCAGCCGAAAATTGTTAACTGTTGCTTCTTGGTTTTTGTATGTACTTTCATTTAATTAAATTTTCTGTGCTTGCAGCCCTATCAGATGCCAAGCCACAAATGCCGAACATTATTCTTATCAGTCAATTGATTTGAACACAAAAGTGTCGAGCAATATATCATCTGTTGTTGTTGCTTTATTTATGTACCTGCTCAGGTATATATAAAACCCCCGAAAAATTTAAATGCGACACTCGAACGTTTTTTGACACTTTAAACAAACGTACAAGGGCGCAATTAGTAAAAAAAAAACGAACGTTATGGCTTATTTAATCAGCAGGCAGGCAGCACATCGTTCGAAACTTATTGTATACGGGGTACTTTTATTTTTTGTATATTTACAAAAATGGGTCATGTCAGTGGCCAACAACAAACTGACATTGTGCAACTCTTATGAACGTGAATAAGGCTTCAGTTCTAAGAAAATTGAAAGTAAACCCACTAAAGTTGGGTCATTGTGATTTCTACTTATATGTAATGCGAAAGCAACATGTGGTTATTTACCCGCACGATGGGTAGCCCTGTGTGTGTGTGTTTTTTTTTTACTAGACGGGGGTTTTTTAACCTCTGATAAGTCAGAAATCAATATTGGCAAAGGGTATGTTTAAAATTATGCAATTTAAAATTTTTTAATATTCAAATGCAGAGTTCATTCACGGAATGATCAGTTTTCGAATCCACATTTTGTTAATTGCGGATTTCTTACTATATATACATATAAAATTCTACTATAAATACATAATTATAATATATATATGATGATATTGTGATTATAAGTTGATGGTTAATACTTTTCAGTGCCTGGATGACAATCATGTTGAGCAGTCAGAAAGCTTAGCTAATGCTAATGACTATCTTATATATATATATATAACAATAGGAACCATTCAAAACTGGCCATATGTAAGTCTAGCAGGCAAGTTAATAAGCTTAAACTTTGGACTTGAGATAAAGAGCTAAGAAAAAGAGCTCATATGCTCACATTTATCGCATTCTTAATCACAATATTGCCGGCGATGCCATTGACAATGGTCAGATTGTTGTCAATTTCGACGCCTGGACAAGAATTAGCCTTGTTTGTTGCAGCCGGACCCTTTGGTAGCTGCTGTGACCGGCTACGCTTGCTGCCCTGCAGCTGCAGCGATTTGACCACCTTGAGCAGTCCATTGCAGCCGATATAGTCGACATTCTGCTGCTTGGAGTCGCAGCCCAGATAAATTCGCCCATCGTTGCCCGTGTACTTGATGTGGCCGCTGTTCTGCTGTATCTTTAGCCGGGTCGAGTTGCCAATGATCTGCAGACTACCCGTGTTGTTGACGATGCGCACACGATTCCCATTACCAATGATGCGCAGATCTCGGGCATTGTTCTCGATGCGATACTCCTTGCAATTGCCAACCAGATCCTTGCTGCCATAATGCATATTGCTTGGCTCCGTGGTGCTGCGCTTCGCATTACTTGTTTTGTTTTTGTGGCTTGTTTGACATGCCGAGCATTCATCATCGTCATACGAATCGCTCGCCGAATCTGCCTCAATTACTCTCACGCCCATGGTGTGCTTTTGTGTGTGTGTGTGTGTGTGTGAATCAGAATCTTTCCACTGCCAAAATCGCGACACAAAAAAAAACCTCCGATCGCCGAGTTTTCGTTACGATTTAGTCACTATGCCGTATATCTTAGTTGATGGGCTCTTAATAGACTTGACTGCTTGTTGCTTCATCTAGTTGTCTATGCCCCTGTGTGTGCGTGCGTGTGTGTGTGTGTGTATCCAATTGTTGTTGCTGCCAAATTTTTAACGTATGACGTATCGTCTCTCTGGGGGGACTCCCTCAGACGCGTGCCTCAGTCGCGGTGCTTTTTCTTGTTTTGCTTTGCTTTGCTTGCGCTCGGATGTGCTGTTGTCTGGCCGCTCGTTGGCTGTGCTGTGAACGGTATCGCCCCTGGGAGTCGGCTTTTATACGAGCCCAGACGTCCGGCTGCGACGGCGGGGCTTTTTATTTTTGCTATTTCGGAGTGCGATAGCCAGTTGCCAGCTAATTGGGGTGACAATCCTAATTCTCTGCCGCGATTCACTCGACTCGCAATCGTGTTTGGCTCTGATAAACAGAGGGCCAACTATAGTGGCATCAGCTGTTGGCCCAGAGAAGTCAGTCAGTGTTTTCTTTAAATATGAATGTTATAAAGTGTTATTTATACTTTTGGACTGAGTATTCCACAAATGCTGCTTAAATTTTAGCAACACAATTTGTGGGAAAAAAATAAGTTTGGCTTGGGTTTCGGTTTACGGCCAAGTTCTTATTAAAAACCAAATTGGCATTGCGGACTTGAACCGGCTCGGTACGGCTGAAGAACTTAACATTTTGTTTTTTTTTTTTTGGGTATTTATCAATGTACTTGGGTTTTTTTTTTAAATATTTTCTTATCGGTGTTAAGCAATCATTGATATTGACTGGTAAATTTCAGCAACGCTCGTAAATTATAACAACGCGATTTCAATCCTCTAACATATGCTCTATATACAAATACATACTATATGGTTCGATCGACAGCGTAAAATTTTAATATTCTTATGTGCGCAGAGAGAGTCTTTAAAATTCAGCAATTTTTGTTGTTTCAACTTTTTTACTTTAAACATATTGCCTTTCATTGGTTGCCAGGCGTACGTATTTTCACAAACAGCTGGCAATGATTTCCTCCTCGAATAAACCAGTTTGTTTATAAACAACAATATTTGCACATATCCCACACACACACACACACACACACACGACCTCACAATCTCATTGCTGGAGAGCTTTCGATTTCTGTTCGCGACTCTTCTCCAGATATGGCGAAAACTCCGAGATAAGTTCTCACGTTTATGCGTGCTTGTCTCGTGGGTTGCGCATGATCCAAATTTTGCCTTCGTTAGGTAAACAATATTTTATGTAAATACTTTTTTGGCGTGTATACCAGATCGGGTAAATCACCGATGGGTCTAACGCTACCATGGATATGGATTCCCGCTGCTGTGTAAACATTGCGAATTGAATGATTTATGGAATGGTACACTTCAAGCTCAGGGAGTATTTTCTGCATCTAACGAGCACCCTATTTAAATAGCACTTGCTGTTGACAATTTGTTATGTTTACAGCAATATTATTAAATGATTTATATACTTATTAGTTTATCAATTTACGGCGAGGGGGCTTTTTCCCTTGTGCTGTTATCGACAAAAACTAAACTGAAAAATCAAATTATTGCGCTTATACTCGATGTTTAAACAACTAATTGCACAATTTACTAAACAAGTATTAGCCATAATTGTGCTTGTACGGCACGTGTTCAATACAAATCAGATATGCCAACTCGTTAAGCCATCCTCCGTATTCCAAAGTTCTACAGCAAATAACTATCAAATACAATCAGTGAAATGAAAGAACGAAAAACCCCCCCCCCCAAACAGTTAATCAGCGGCAACTGTAAAGCCATTAAATTTCTACTGCTATCTGTTACGAGAACAACGCTACCAGGCGCCCACCAATTGACACCAGCTTTTTGTTTAAACTTGCAAAGCAAAAAAAAGCAACAACAAAACTAAAAAAAATCACCAAAAGCAACTGGTTTCATCAGCCTTCTATCAAATATTGCCCTTTGTCTGCTGTTTGCTTTCAACAGTCGATAGTCACACCTGATACATATGTGCCGACGCATCGCTCAAAGCTACCGTAAACACTTGTTGCTAAGATAACCGATAAGGTGCGTGCGAAATTTTGGAATCCACAATAGAAATGGCGCATAGTACAGCTGCGCGCCTTACTCATGTCATAAACTCATATACTGTACCCTATCCAAGTAATTTTTTGTTATTTTATTATTTACAATCTATCTAAAAAACGTTAATTAGTAAATGTGAAGCAAAATGACGGACTTGTTTTTTTAAGATAGCTGGGTTGCTGTTGGGGCGCAAAGAGTAGTATCCCTAGATACTGTAATATAGTATCGTTTAAAATAGTAGAGCTCTCTTTTTGCACAATGTTTAATTATTTAATAAAATCAGTGTAAAATTATAAATGATAAACCCCTGCTGGCTTTGGCCTGAAGTGAACCGGCAACTTATAATATCGGGAGAGTTGTTTTAAATACACATATAATATACATATAAGTTAAATATAAAAGCAGTTCATTATTCAATATTGTCAGAATAATATCAAGTATATGACCTCATATTACCCCCGTTTATTTTTAATAAAAAAAAAATTATATTCATTAACTATAGGATATTAGATCATGCAAACATTTGCACTTTAATGTAATGGGCTTTCGTTTCGCACGTAACTGATAGCTGCTAAATATTTATGGATAGTATAAATTAAAATTCCTGAAAGTTTTTACGCTAAGAGATTGATTACAGTTTGTTAAATGTAATAGAAAAATAGATATTGCTTTATTTAATAAACAACTTTTGAACTTTAACAATTTATCCTTCACGCTCGATGTCTTTGCTTAGCTTAAAAGGAAGTCTCTATTGATTGAACTTAAATGTGATATGTGACAGGTTAAGCAGTCGCTATAATATGTATGTTTACATGTTTTGATATACTATGATTGTATAAATTGATGTATGTGTATAATTGCACTATGGAGTTATTCATTGAGTGGTTAGCTTAACACTTGCTATCTGAGACTCTTTAAATACAATATGTTTAATTATTAATTTAATTGTACTCATATTCCTGTGTTATATTTCGAGTATTTGCTTACATAAGTTTTCAATTTGAAGTCTGAGTCAGATATGTATGAAATGAGATTGTTTGCTTGCTTTTGACGGCAACACTTGGTTTCATTTATCACTGGAAACTTTCTAGTTCGGCATTAAATGGCTACAAAAGAAGCGAAAAGAACCAAATCAAAATTGAAACACAGCATTAAAGACTATAATAGTGATAAAACCAAGCACACTAACATTTGACACTGTGCTGGCCGCGCCATGCGTCATCTCGTGCAGCTCCTCGTCGGTGTAGGTCAAATTGTTTGCCTCGATTTTATAGCTAAAGGTCGCCGAAACGGGCTTGTGGTCAGAGAGCGTATATTCCATGTTCGACTGATAAGACAATTGTTGGGCACTCAGCGTAATGGCTGGATAACTGTTTGCCTGCACGCGATGCAGTATACGGTCACACCAAGCCGGGCGCCGCTTGATGTCGTACTCGTTGCTGCCCTCGATGAACTTGAAGGTGGGTGCAAATGTGGGCAGTTGCTCCTCCAATAAACTGAAAGCATTGCCCGTCTCGCGCATCAACACCAGCTCGTCTAACTTCAGCAGCTCTTCGTAGCGTCCATGCTCCACGGCACTGCGTACATCCCAGGCGGACATATCACCTGTCAATCGGAAGTTCAGATCGCCAAGCCAGAATACAAAATCATGATCAAAGATGCGTCGATAGCCGCTCACATGGTACTTGTGATTGTCCACTATTTGATGGTAATCCTCGATACGTTCATTTAGTTTTTTGTCGTGTGCCGCCAAGTGTGAGCAAACGAAAACTGCGCCCGTGCCGTATAGACTTAGTCGTATGCTGACGGCGCCCTTATTCCCCCATAAGCCACCCAGGCCAGTCCGCGTCTCTTCCGTCTCGATGTCCTTCATGTGCGGTATGTGCTTGTGCTGTGCAAACATTGTAATGAGTATGCCCTGCAGCTGCTTTGAGTGCACCTTCACATACTCGTGCTCGCTAAGTGTGCTGGCAAATTTTAATATCCAGGGATCGTCCTGAAATATGTTAAGCACCTGCTTTGTGCTCACCTCTTGCATGCCAATCACATAAATGTCGGGTAGCTGATTGTCCGGACAGTTGGTGGTGCCGTTAAGCGCCAAAAGCGATGCCAGCGGCAGATCTCTGGGCGAGTGCGTACCAACATTCCAGGTTAATAGATATATGCACAGATCAGCAATCAATGATGTCGACGCAGTCATTTTACGCTGCTCTCACTAATTAGCAATGAATAACACTGGTTAGACAACTAAATACGTCAGAGTCAGGGTAAGCTAGCGCTGGTGACGATGATGAGTTCACCATATCCAGAGGTAGCCATATTCCGCGCCAGTGCATCCAAAGGAGACAAAGGCGGAATATGCAATTCTAAGTGCTTACCAGTGTGTTCTTATTAAATTAGCGAAATAAGATTAATGCAATTATTTTTAGACGTTTCGACAGTAGCCATGGGCTTTTATTGCTTCCGTTGCCGTAGCAGGTGCTTTTATTGTTAAACTAACCCACACTAACGCATCTGGTCAGTTGACACGCAGCGCTGCCAGACTATTGCTTTTTACATTTTAAAGAATTACAGCCAATTTGGACCTAGTAACGTACCATACATTTTTGAAACAAATGGAAAACCAAATGATTTAATTGAATTTCATTTTGCTATCTATTGTTAAAGTATAACATGACAATAACAAATGTTGCCAGCAGTGTGGCCATATTGTGAGTGTTGCCAAATTGCATCTAATTTGCGACTATCTGGCAACGCTATACACTTTATTTGGTAAAAACAATTACTAGGCCATATTTCTTGCAAACAATAACTTTATTGACAAAGTCAAGAAGATGGTTAGCAGCATTCCACCCGGGGTTCTGCCAAATTGGATGCACAAACTTAAAAATGGTGCATACATGTCCAATAAAATTTTGGAACGATGTTTGCTGTCGTTCATGTCTGAAGGTACGTAAAAAGTGCTTGTGTTTTGAAATACGCTTGTATTTGTGTTTCATTGTTTATGTTTTATGCGGAAACTGCGTAATTAGATGAGGCCTCTCAAGCGGTGGAAGATGCCATCAGGATGGGTATTTTAGTGCCAAAGGGTAAAGCTGCGCGTGCCAAGGGCAAACGAATCTCGCTCTGTTTCGCTCAGAAAATAGGCGAGCTACAACAATCTCTAAAACCTGATCCTTACT